TCTAGATGGATTAAAAACCTAAAAATGACAAAAATAACACTTTAGAACCTTAAAAATATGATGCCATATCTTCACAGATTCTAGTTAAGGAAAGATATCTTAAAATGTAAAATTACAAATCATTTTTAAATGATTGACTAATATGACTATATTTACAAATTAGAGCCTATCATTTGACTCAAAATAGATTCATATAGAAGGCTTAACATTAAGTGAAGTAAGCCAGACATTGAAAGATATACAGTGTATCCCCACTCAATGTGTACCGAATATCTGCACTTTATGGCAGAAATGGAAAGATCTGAAGATACAGTAGTAGAGAAGACAAATGTAGATACCAGAGACTGTAAGGGAGGGAAGTGGGTGGTAGAGAGTGGGTGGTAAAGGGTGAGTGGGAGGTGCAAAGGGAATAAACATTGAACAGATAAAAAAATGAGTAAAGTTCTCTGTTGAAAAAAATATCGTATGTATCATGACAAAGACTTTATGTAAAATATGAAATTAGTCTGACAAGTTTTAAAAAATCTAATAAAAAACCTAGGAAACTGGAATAAAACATGGACTTTAGTTTATAATGCATCAATATTAGTCATTATTTCTGATAAATGTACCATACTAATGTAAGATGTCAACAATAGGAGAAATTAGGTATGGTGCATAGCTTCACAACTTTTCTGAAAATCTAAAATTATTCTAAAGTAAAAAATTATTTAAAAGAAATAAAAATTAAAACAATTATAAAGCAAAGGACATTATATAGAAAGCAAAATGATTATCCATAGCATAGGAGATATTTGCAAAATATCTTACTCAAAGTAGATTAGCATCCTATGCAAGGATCATAAGTGATCAACAACAACAAAAAAAAAAAAGAGAGAGAGAGAGAGAAAATAGAGAGAAAAAGACAAAGATTATGAGCAGGCAATATAATGTAAGAAAATAAAACATGGGGCCAGCAGGTGGCATGCTGATTAAGGCACTGGACACCAACATGGCTGCCCCCAGTTTGAGTCCTGGACCAGCAGCTAGACTATCATACTGGGCACATTGGTGCCTGTGGCCCAATCCTAAAAGGAGATTAGGGGAGAAAGGATTATGGTGTGACCATCCCCCCAGCGGGCAATTTCTCACTTTCCCTTTCTCTGTATCTCTTTTTCTCTCCAGTAAGCACATGCACTCTATGGCAAAAACCAAAAGGAAAAAATCACAATAGATATGTGAAAATGCATAAATCCACTAGCCATGAGGGACATACAGTACCACTTAATATCCAATGCCCAGGAAAGCAATCGCAAATGTCTGACAATTCCACACATTGATGGGGATATGTGGAAAAGCAGAACCCAGACTCTGCTGATGATGGTGGAAATGGCCACATCATTTCACGGAAGAATTTGGGCAATATTTAATAATTCTGAAATAGTGCATTTCTAAGATCCAGCTATTCCTCTTCCAGTGACTTACAATAGAGAATCTCTTTTCCACATGTACGGTGAGACATTTGTAAGAATATACCCTGCAGTTTTATGTCTTACGTTGGTTGAAAACAACTAAATATTCACCAAAAGAAGAAAGGGCCCTGGAAGTGGTGTGGTGGTTAAGGGCGTGGGACTCTCACATGGCTGACTGGGGTTCGAGTCTCACACCCAAAGCTGGTGACTTAATTTCTCTCTCTCATTCCCTCTCTCTCTCTCTCCCTCCCTCCCTCCCTCCCTTCCTTTTTAATAATAAAGTTAATTTTAAAAAATAAGAATGGGATTTAAACAAATGAGTATTTTGTGGCCATTAAACTGTGCTGATCCCACATGGGAAGGTCCTGAGGCCTCCCTGTACATGCCAGACACACGCGCATATGCCTGTCACCCTGGCTGGCTGTGGCTGGGTGTAGATCTAGTGTGAAGATCCTGCTGGGGTGCATCTCTCTTTCTCCATCTCTGTCTCTCTCTCATGAAATAAAGAAAATTTTCAAAAAAAAAAACAAGGAAGAATCAGAGCTGCATGTATTATTATGAATTCATCTCATAAATACAGTGAGGAAAACAAAGTAAAAGGTAGAATCTTATATACAGTATGTGGGTAAGGTTGAATATACAAATATACATACACAGGGCCAGCCATAGCATAGCAGTTAAGATGCTGGATTCCCATATGGCCAAACACTTAAGGCACTGGATTCCTACATGGTCAATCGTGTTTCGAGTCCTGGACCTGACAGTTTGAAAATCACACCAGGCACGTGTGAATGTGTGCCCAAAATCCCAGGAGGAGAATGAAAGACTGGGGATTATGACATGGCCATATCCCTCAGGGGATGATTTCTCACTTTCCCACTCACCGTCTCACTCTGTCTCTCTGGCAAGCTCATGTGCTCCTTGGGAGAAAAAAAAATTTTTTTTAAATACATACACAGGAATTATAATCTCCAACCTCAGGTTCACTGTTTCCTCCAGGGAGAGAGGGAAAAAGAGGAAAGATGAGGGTGGAGTGAAATTAGGAAGGAACAGCAAGAGGCCACCGACTGTTTGTGAAATGCTTTGTTTCCTTAAAAATATCTGAATCAAACAAGGCAAAATGTTAATTTATGTGAACCCTGGGTGCTTGGTGCAAAAACATCAATTACATTATTCATCTGACTTTTCTATGCTTTGCAAAGGTCAAAAAAACATTTAAAATCATCAAACACGATCATTTATTAAAAGGTTGCATCTTGGTGACTAACACAAACTGGTATTTTATTCTTCTAAAGTTACCTTCCTTTTACATGTAAAATCTATATTAATATATTTATAAAAATTTCCTTTACTGGATTACCCACTGTTTTCTTTCTTTCTTTTTAAAAATTTATTTTTTTCAATCACTGGATATTATTACAGCTTGTAAAATGTATTTTCCCAGCATGAATGCACTGTATATTAGTCCAGTTAAAGATATTATCATATACGTTATAATCACCAGATAATTTACAATTTTCATGTCCCTTAAATGTTTTGCTTCTTCCTTTTTCTCCTTGACTCAGGGCACATGTACTTGGGAGAGGAAGAAAGAGACAAAGCATGAGAAAGGGAAAGTGAGAAAGCATCCCACAAAGGGTATTATCACACCTCAATCCCTCTCTCTCTCTCTCTCCTTCCTTTCAGGAATTTGGTCATGCATGTACACATGCCTGGCATGTTTCTCAAGTCTCTAGATCCAGGAACTGAACCATGCAGTTGGTCACATGGGGTCCAGTCACCTAAACTACCATGCCACAGTCTGGTCTTTACTTCATTTTCTCAAGTAGACTGTACTGAACACACTGCAACCTTCTCCCGAAGATTGCCAACTATTAGTCTAAATTATGGTACTGAGCCGTGCCCTCCTGCGTTGATGCTGAAGAAAACAGCCTCATTTATTCCGAACTCAAGGGTCCCAATTGTTTGGTTGGAAAACTAGAAAACTCAGAGAGAAGGGAGACTATATAGCTTTCCTATCAATTCCCTCAGCTTCCAATTTATTCCCAGAGCCTTGGTGGCCCTGCTCTAGGATTCACTTATTTAATCCATTCAATCAATGTGTTTTTAAATACTTAATGAGCACCTATTTTGTTCAAGGCCTGGATAACCATTTGAAATGAACCCACATTCCTTTGTGAATAAAGTGAGTGACTTTATGGAAGGATATTAACAGCAAGGCCATTACTAATTAACAGGCATTGAATGTACTCCTAGGATAGTTGAAAAAGTATCAGAGAAGTCACAGGCACGTCTATCTACTGTTGGATTTGATGCAGCAGCAGCTTAGGAAGGGAAAGGAATTCTGGGGGAATAGAGGAGTGATTCCTCCCAACTGTAAAATCAGAAACTGGCTCTGAGCTCTGCTGGCTATTTTATGTAGGGAGGGTAGTTGATTTTGTCCCCAAAAAACATTGGACAATGTGTGTAGATATTTCTGGTTGTCACAATGGACATGCTACTGGCACCTAGTGTGCAGAGGCTAGGGATACTTCTTAACATTCTGGAATGCACAGGACAGCTTCTACCATAAAGAATGACCCAAGTCAAGATGGCCATAGTACTGCAGCAGAGAACCCTGCTATACAGTGATAGCTACAACCACACAAGTTTCTGCTCTCCAGAAGCTCAGAGTGAGTAACTAGCTCATCCATAACCATGAGAAGTAGACTGACTAAACTTTAAAGCCTCACTCTGAGCCTGGATGCTTCTAGCAAAAGCCTTGTTCTCCTGAGACTAGCCATGACCACAGCAGCTATTCACATTCATCTCATTAAAGCAAAGGCTATCTACACTCTTACCCTGACAGCTGCTGAAGGGTAAGATGACCTCATCTATCACTCTGACTGGGTCCATACTGTTTATTCCCATAGGTTCTTCCAATAACTGTGCCGTTCACAGGCCTTTAAAAGTTTCCTTTGAAGAAACTTATAGTGAATATGGACAGAGATGGTGGGTGCTATGGTTTGGATAATGGTGTGTCCCCCAAGGGTGCATGTTCTAAAAGCTTTGTCTCTGGTATAATGACTTTGGGAGGTGGTGAGATCTTTAAGAGGTGGGGCCTAATTGGAAAGCACTATCCAGTTGGTTGAGGGCATGGGAGGAACAAACAGAGGAAGTGAGAACCCTGTTCCCTCTCTCTTTGCTTGTGCCCGCAATCCTCTCCATTTCTGTCAGCCATATTGTGTTGTACAACCAGAATCTGGCTTGTACCAGCCCCAAACCTTTGGAGTTCCCAGCCACCGGATTTTTGAGCCAAACAAAACCCTACTCTTTATAAATCATCTACTTTCTGGTATTTCTGTTTACCAACACAATAAAAGACTATATAGTGTAGAGAAGAGGACACTTGGGGGAAACAGAAAGAAACCAGCTGAAAGGTCTGTTCTCTGACTTCTCCCGAGGATGAGAGGATAATTTCCCTCTAATTGTTCTTTCCCTGAATCTACCTCTCTACTGGAGAGGCAGGGAATATGCCCTTCCAAACGTATGCTGAGATCTCCACCTTACCTGATCACAGAGGGTCCCAATCAAGCCTTCCAAATCTTGCTTCTCATGAAGGACCATCTGCTTCTCTTCATATTCTTGCTCTAGCTGCATTTCTAGCTGGCGGAGCTGTGGACACAGAGGGCAGATGCATGCACAGGGTGAATGATCTCCATCTGGACTAATTCCCCAATGCAAGAACCCTTGGGATGAGGCGGATGTGGAGTTTGTGGATTTGTTCCACAAAAACTGCCCTGGTGATGAGGAGTTCTCCAACTGAGAACTTGGGAGTCTAAAAGCTTGGGAGCTGGACAAAGGTGGGGAGAGTTGACCACTTAAAAAGATCCCCTTGCCATTGACTTTAAAGCCCCTTCCCCCAGGTCCCCACCAGAATGGAGATCTCCCTCCTATAGCTATAGACAACACTTGAATATGTACAAGTTTTGGCACTCTGATTTTTAAAGGCTCTGGATAGCATTACAGCCAACATTTTAAAATGCATCTGTCTCCCTTATTCAATACACTATGATACAGCAAAAATGTTCCAAAAAAAGAAAAAAGTTGCATTGGCAAATATTTGGTTTTTTTTTTTTTTTTTTGGCTGCCTGTTTGTTCCCCCTCCAACATTAATAAATTGACACCTTAATTCTCAGTGCAGTTGGAGGTAGGGTATAGGGAAGGAAGGATAAATAGGTTTAGATGAGACCATGAGAGCAGATTTCGTGGTGGAATTTGTATTCTTATAAAAGACTTCAGGGAGCTTGCTTCCTCTCTCTCTCTCTCCATCAGGTGAGACTACAATGAGGAGGCAGCCATCTACAGGCCAGGAAGAGAACCCTCACCAGACACCAAAGCTGCTGGCACTTTGATCCTGGGCTTCCCAGTCTCCAGAACTGTGAGAAATAAATGCTTGCTGCTTAAGCCAGACTATGGTATTCTCCTATAGTGGTCTGAACTGTCTAAGACATTTGATAATGACAACCTCATTTTTTAGAAAAAGAATAAATTTTATTTAATAGAATTTTTTAATGTAGGTTACACACACTTGCTGGACAGTCAGAGAGAGGAAAAGTGAGAAATAAACCCCCTCCTGAGGGGTAGGGGAGATGGTTACACCACAATCCTTTTTCCTCCATTATCCTCTTGGGATTTGGGGCATGCATGCACATGCACCAGCATGATTTTCAACCCATCAGATCTGGGACTCAAACTGTGCAGTTGGCCATGTGGGATCCAGTGCCTTAACCTCCACCCCAAACCTCATTTAATTGACATTGGGTTTTGATTTCTCAGTGATTGCCCAGTACAGACATTCTCCTCTAGAATGACTACTCCTACTATAGCTTTGCAGCCTCACCAGCCTCTCTTGAGTATGTTGTCTCATCCCTTTCATCTTTCATTTCCACCACCAGACTTTAGTGACCCTATTTCGCAGATGGACAAACTAAGCCCTGAGGAGGACCGCAAGTACATACTCTTAAATTAAGTGTTGTTGACAAGAGTAAGAGTTTCTGGCCCCAACTCTTTCTGCCACCCCACACAGCTGTAGAATTTCTACTCTGGTCACTCACAATTGATTTCCTGCCATGCTGGGAGATAGCCTGAACAGAGCAGTCACTGGAATTTGAAGTCAATGTTGGTGTCTGTTATAAGGAGAAAAACACCTTTCTCTGACCTTACTCTCTCCTTTTATAAATCTGTCCAAGAAAAAGCCTCAGGAGGGTCTGGGTCACATCTCCAACTCATTAGAGCCCTGGGAATCAGGGAACATACAACACTTTGAGGAACTCTGAACAAAAGTTTGTGTAACCTTCCCCTGTAGGAACATAGACAGGACTGGGGGCTTCCATCTCTCTTGATGCTCTTCAGCTGAGACATATAAGGCACTGTGCCCATATCTGTTTTTAGAATGAAGACCAGAACATCTAAAACTCATTTTGAAAAATATGCAACATAAGAAAAGCTATAAATCAAGCAAGGTAAAGTTATCTAGGATGTGTTCTGTAGAATATTTCCACATGTGCTCACAGGTATGATGGGGGAAGATGGGAGAGAAAGAAGAGGTGATGGTAGCATAAGAGTGGGAACCTGGAGCCAGCAGGTGGCATGGCGGTTAAGGTGCTGGATTCCCACAAGGCCTACTATGGTTTGAGTCTTGGACCTGGTGCTTGAAAATCATGCCAGATGTATGTATGTGAGTGCCCAAACACCTAAGAGGAGAATGGAGTAGAAGGGATTATGTATGCCATTCCCCCTGGGATGGAAGGAGTGATTTCTCACTATGCCTCTCTCTGTCTCTCTTTGTTTCTCTCCAGTGAGTGCACACACCCTATGGCAAATCAAACAAACAAAGCAGGAACCTGTTGTATGAGGCTGAATTGAAAACTTTAAGCAATTCTGCTCTAAGGACTCATGTTACATTCCCATTAGTCAATCTCTCTATGAGAATGCTTATCTCAGCATTGGTTAAAATGACAGAAAACCAGAAACAACCTAAGTGTCCAATAACAGGGGATTTGTCAGATAAATTAGAGCACCTGCTGAAAGTTGATTACTAGGCTATTACACATAAACACTGGATCTATATTTCTGGACATGAAAAGAGACTGTGGCAATATCTGAGTGCAGTTGGCTTCAAAACAGCATAACTTCACTTAGTAAAAATGGTATCTCTCCAAATATGTATGCATGTACATACAGTGAAAGAGAGACATGAAAGAACATTTAAAATGGTAGTTAATGATGCCAGGAGGTAAGATTTCAGGAGTTTACAGCTTTCTTAAACTGTGTGAAATGTCTGCAAAGAGCTTGGAAAAAAATGGAAGAAATGATCTGAATTTCAAGGGAATTAGAAAGGAAGTAGTCCCATTACTGAAACTTAGAATTCCTCATCCAATGTGTCCATCACCTGGCATTATGGGCTCTTGGTTGAAATCTTGGAGTGATTATGCTGGGCAATTCCAGAGGCTCCTGAAAGTTCCACAATTATATTTTAGATAGATATTTCTGCTCCTGCAGCTTTGAAAACACCTGAGGAGCTCAAGTCTCAGGTGGTTGCAGAAAGAGCCTGTTCCCAGGCACTAGCTTCCTCCTCAAACTCAGGAAGAGTTGAACATGCCAGGCAAACATGCCAGGACCCAAGAGCACAGCTGTGCTTGCTGTTCACATACCCTCTTCTGGCAGGACTGACGGACATCCTCCAGCTCTTCCTCCTGGTCTTCGCGGTCCTTCTGGTGCATCTGCTTCATCCGCTCGATCTCCAGCTCAAACCGCTGGCGGAGCTGGGGGACAGCAAAGACAGAATGTGAAGATGGCCTATTCCATCCCCCCTGCTCTCCATGTCACCTTTGACAATCCAGCTGCAACTCTCAGCTTTGGAATGCATGGTTGATAGTCAAGTGATCTCCCTACACACCCTGAAGGGTAGACAAATAGCCCAAGTGTTCTCTCTATCCCTTCCTGTGGCCATGACAGACATTAGCAATCAAGCACACTCTTCCACTGAGTTTAGAGACAGCCTCAGAATCCTTCCCAACACCCTTCAAATGAAACCAATTTGTCACCCCTGGAGCAGCTATTGGCAGTGGTTTTTTGGATGGATGAATGGGTGGATGTACAATAGAACAAAACTTTTTGAAGATATGAAAGTCAGCACAGGGAATTAAGTTGTTCAAGATGTTTATCTTAGAAATTTACCTCTGGATGAGTTTTTTTTTTTCATAGAAAACTTTTTTAAAAAGTTTTTTGGGGGGCTATAGGGTGCATAGCAAGACAGAGAGAGGGAAAGTAAAAAATCACCCTAAGTGGGGATGACCACACCACAATCTCTTCTCCTCCATTCTCCTCTAGGAATTTTGGCCATGCAGTTGACGTGATTTTTCAAGCCACCAGATCTGGGACTCAAACCACAGAGTCAGCCATGAGGGATCCAGTGCCTTAACCTCTATACCATCTGCTAGCCCCAAAATAACCATCTTAAAATGCTGTTATGATAATTAGATAAGATGATTCATATAAAGCACCGAGCATGGTACCTGACACACAAATATTACTTTCTTTTTCCCCATTATTTTGAAAAAAATAGAGAAAAGACTCTCCTCTACCTCACTGTCTGCCAATTAAGAGCTCCGTTCCTATGGAGGGGCTGGGTCTTTAAAAATGAGACCCACCCAAGTGTGTACACAAGTAGGCAAAGAGCTGTAGGTGATATTTAATCTGCGTGGTGTTGGTATAAAAGGTTCTGGAGGGACCAGCAGGTGGAGTAATGGTTAAGGTGCTAGACTCCCACATGGCTAACTGTGGTCTGAGTCCCCATGATGGTGTGGCCATAGCCCCTGGGGAGGGGGTGGTGTCTTACTTTCTCTCTCATTGTCTTTCTGTCTCTCTGGCGAGCACACACACCCTATGGCAAAATTAAATGAAATTTTCAAAATATAAAAAATAAAAATTTTTAAAAAAGGTTCTAGAATTGGAGACAGAAGTCATGGGTTCTAATTCTAGTTCCAGACTTCACTTTCTTTTTCTTTCCTTTTTTTTTTTTTTTGAAGAGGTTTTTTTGCTATAGGGCGCGTGCGCTCACCAGAGAGACAGAGAGATAGAAAGTGAGAAATCACCCCCCAGGGGGGATGGGCACGCCACAATCCCTTCTCCTCCATTCTCCTCTCGGGATCTTGGGCATGCACACATACGCGCCTGGCGTGAGTTTAAGCCACCGGGTCCGGGACTTGAACCGCAGTCGACTATGTGGGAGTCCAGCAACATAGCCATTACGCTAACTGCTGGTCTCCAGACTTCACTTTCTTGATCTGCATAATTGAGAAAGTGGCTCATGCTCTTGCTTCTCAAAGTTTGTAAGACGAAAGAATTGCCTAATGCAGTGTGTGTGTGCTTGTGTGTGCTTGTGTGTGTGTGTGTGTGTATGTATGAATGTATGTGTCTGATGTTATTTTTTTAGACAGGTTCTAAAAAACATGTCATGATTCTCCTGCCTCAGCCTCCCAAGTAGCTGGGACTACAGGCATATACCACTGTACTTGGCTTCTTAGGGCCAACCAGATTGAACCAGGGCCTTCAATGTGGCCCCAGCCTGCCAACACCAGCATTCAATGACTGCTACTGTGCCTGGGCCGTGACGCATTTTTAAAACATTTTGGGATCGGACGGTAGCGCAGTGATAAAAAGCAATGTTCTCTGAGGCTGATTCCCACAGGAAGGTTCTGAGTTCACATCTGAGGACCTCCCTGAGTGCGCTGGGCACACATGTGTCTGCAATCTAGGTGGGGATTAATCATCCTCTCGAGGCCCTTGTTTGGGGAGGAGGGAAGGTACCAGTAGCTCTCCCCCTCCTCCTTCTTCCTTCTCTCTCTATCCCTCATTGTCTCTTTCACTCATGGAGCAAACAAATAAACTTCATCTTTGTAAAGATTTAAATTCCAGAGCTTCACCCTAGACCAACTAGATGAGATTCTCGAGGATACGGGGCCCAGCAATCTCTACATTTACCCTTTCCTTTATCAGTGCTTCTTTTGCTTTGTTTTGGTTTGATTTGGCTTTTACTATAGGTCACACGCACTCACTAGAGAAAAAAAGAGGAGGGGGAATGTAAGAAAAAAGAGGGGGGCAATGTAAGAAATCACCCCACAGAGTGCATGGCTCCACTGCAATCCCATCTCCTCTGGTTTCTGCTTGGGATCTTGGGCACACATGCATACATGCCTGGTGTTATTTTTGAGCTACCAGGTCTGGGACTTGAACCTCGAAGCCAGCCATGTGGGATCCAACACCTTAACCTACACACTACCTGCTGGCTTCCATGTATCAATGCTTTTCATTTATGTATTTATATATTTATTTACTTAGAGAGATTTTTGCTTTAGGACACATGCACTCACCAGAGAGACAGAGAAATGGAAAGTAAGAAATCACCCCACCCCAGAGGGATAGTCATGCCGCAATCCCTTCTTTTCCATTCTCCTCTCAGAATTTTGGACATACATGCATATGAGCCCTGTTTGTTTCAAGCCGCTGGGTCCATTACTCAAACCACAGTCAACTGCATGGGAGTCCAGCAACCTAATCATTACGCCATGTGCTGGTCTTGTATCAATTCTTTTTTTTTTATTTCTTTTTTATTTTTTCATTTCTTTTTCTTTTATACATTCAATCACAATATTACTATCAATTCTTTTTAATGCCATGAGCCATGGAGCAGTATTTGGAACGAATGCACAGACAGATAGCACTGTAGAAACTGGAGCTAAACATCGACTGAACTGTCCCAGTGCCTCTCATCTTTCGGAAGTCCCTGACATAAAAATGAAATGGAGAAAAATGCAATTTTTGTCTTTTAAAAATGTTGGTAACATTCCCTGCTCTGGAGGGCTGTGGTGAAGAGTAAAAAGGGTAGTGTACGTCAGAGCCCCTGTTACCGTTCCTGGCATAAAACAGGCTCACTTTAAATGTCAACTTCCTTCCTTTCCTCCTTTAAAATGACAGAGGTTATGGGAAGATAATCCAAAATGAGGAGCCTAAGCAAGTAAATATAATATTTCTTTTTCATTTTTTTTTCCTAGCCTCTTAGACACTCTTGACATCTGCAATACCATTTATGTCAAACTTATATGAGTTAACATAAAATTCCCTGGGAAAAGTGCTATATTATAATCAATAAATATCTACTGGATGTCTACAAGGGCACGGTACAGCATGTACTTATGGGTAAAGCTAAAGATGGATAAAAGTGTTGAGTCAGGCTCACTTCCTGGAAGGTGGAGGGTGGAAAATTAAGAAGCAGCATTAATTTTTGGGTCCCTGAAGTCACAGTAGTGCAGCCCTGCCTCCAAGCACAAATGGTGCCCTGGTGGTATCTTAAAGAGTTAGTGCGATTTTCAGAAGTGCTTCTTGTATTCTTGGCTACATGAGGGTCCTTCTCCTGTATAGAACCCTGGGTTGCTGGGACAAGCAGATGGAATAATGGTTGCATCGCTGAACTCCCATAGTCGAATGTGATTTGAGACCTGGTGACTTAAAACTCATGTTGGGTGCCCAAAATCCCAAGAGGAGAATGGAGCTGGCCCAGGCCCTGGGTAAGTCTGTGTTTGAGAAGGACCTCCAGGAGAAAGTGACTCAGTAGCCATTCTCCCTGATGGGTGATTTCTTCTTTTCTGTCTCTCTGGCAAGTGCACATGTCCTATAGCAAACATTTCTCAAAAAAAAAGAAAAAAAGAAAGAAAGACAAAGAAAAGAAAAAGAGAAAGAAGAACCCTGAGTTGCTATCGAGCTGCATGGTCCTGTGTGTCCCTTAAAGTCTTCCACCAGAGCTGGATGTCGAGATGGCGCAACAGCAAAACATGACACTTTGTGAGGCTGGCCCACATGGAAAGCTTCCAGGTGTACATCTGAGTATGCTGGGCACACATGTGTCTAAGACCCAGAGCTGGCTGAAGCTGAGGATGGAAGCAAGAGTAAACATTCCCCTTATATATTAATGGGTGAGAGAGGCACTGGGTGATTTTTTTTTAACAAAGGATAAAATATTTACACTTTTTTCTTTTGCGAATATTTCCTCCAAGTCTGTGATTTATTCTTGTTGTTATTGTTGTTTTATTTTAAAAGTCTTATCTAATATAACAGATTTTATGGAGAAAAACAGACCAACTAAGGTGATGGAAAGAGAATGTCAGTGGGGGTGGGAATATCTGCAAAGTGAACAGGGAGGCTGCTTTGAGGAAGTGACATTGTACTTTGCAGGTAGGAGAGGGCTAAATCACAAAGGATCTGAATGTCAGTCTGAGGAGGTTAGAGGTTCTGTGGAGCAATAGGGACAGTGGAAAAATGAGGAGCAGCTGAGTGAGGCATGCCCATGTGTATTTAATAACTTCGCTCTACATTGAAGCCTGCATGGGACGGGAGTCAACCTGGACAGGGGCTTTCCTACCTGCTCCAGCTGCTTAATGGTATTTTCCTGTTTTTTTTCCTGCTGACTCTGAATTTCCTGCTGTTCGAGAGCAGTGGATTCCAGCTTCCAGAGCCTCTCCTTCAAGCCAGCGATGCAACTTTCCCCCAGAGAGGGTGACCCCAGCAGCTCTCGTTTATGGTCCTGCAGCATCTCCACCTTCTGCTTCAGCTGTAAGGCTTCCTGCTCCTTTTGCTACAGAGGCAATGGGGACAGAAGTCTGGAGTCACATTGGAATAACCCACACTTCCCTGGGAGACCTCTACAACCTGCTGGAGTGAAACTTCCCATTGTGCAATGCTTGCCATCTGCACCTCAGCCTTGCAGCCCCTCACAATGCTCCCTATGGGACACTAGCAAGGACTGCTCTCTGGGACAGCTCAGACAAGCATCTGCCAGGAGGATTGGGAAGGATAGGATTGGAGGAGAGCAACGCCATCATCCTTAGAATTAGACATCAGAGTTCAGAAAGGAAGTATTTGCCCCGTTTGTAAAGGAGATGTAGCCACACAGCCAAAGCTTTGTTATGTGCTTTCTGTGTGAGACAGAGCAGAGCGGCCAAGTGTCCCGAAATGACTCTTCCAAGGTAGAGAGTCAGCCCCAGAGTCCCATAATGTTGGGCTAGATCAAGAAAGAGGTGGATGCCAGGATAAAGTGCTCAGCGGTCCTCCCAGGCGGTAACAGGGACTCACAGAAGGATGAGCAGCAGCCAAGTAAGGTGCCTATGACCTATTTTAATGAAATCTCTCTGCTTTGGAGCCGACATGTCACAGGGCGCTGCTCCCAGAAAAGGCCATAGCTAACTTGTTCTCTGCCGAGTGTCTTGCCTCTCACAGGTAGACACCTTGTAACCCAGGCAGGTGACCTGAGCAAGATTACAAGATCAAGCTAGGGAAATCTGAATCTCAACCTGCCAGTCGCTGTTTGTTTTCTTTAGACATGCTGGGACCCATGGCACCAGCTGCCTGGCAGACCAGGACACCCACACGGGGTTCTCTCCCTGTCACCATTGGCAGCAGGTACACAGTGGAGTTTCCCAAGGTCAGCAACCAAGAACTGAGGTGGCTTGGGGACCCCCCCCCCTTTACCTTCAGCTGCTGCTGGAGCTGGCCCAGCTCCCACCGCACACTGGTGTTCTCCTGGGTCGCTTTCTCCCGGAGGCCCTTCTCAAACACAGACTCGCCCAGGGCCTGAGCCAGCTGCATGTCAAACCTGCCCAAGGTAAAACACATGTCATGGCACTATGAAGGGAGAAACGTGAGCAAGGTGGAGAGGGCTGGGGAGAACCACAAGGATGAGAGAATAGAATGATGGAAGGTTTGCTCGGTGTTGTTACATAGGGTTGGAAGGATATAGGGTAGGAATCTGGAATGCCACAGAGCAATTTTTAGTGTTCATATAGAGTGTTCACAAAAATACTTGGTACTATAGACTTGATCTATAGATAAAATTAAAATAGAATAAAATTATATACAATTACAGAATGAAAAATAAAAATATATAAGTATGTAGAAAAAACAAGTATCTGACTAACCAACACACGGTAAGACCTGTTAACTATACTAGGCCCAGGGACCAGCAGTTAGTGTAACGGCTATGTTGCTGGACTCCCATGTAGTCGACCACGGTTCACGTCCCGAACCCGGTGGCTTAAACTCACACCAGGCACGTGTACGTGCGTGCCCAAGATCCCAAGAGGAGAATGGAGAAGGGATTGTGGTGTGGCCATCCCCTCTGGGGGCGGGGGTGTGTGATTTCTTGCTTTCTGTCTCTCTGTCTCTCTCTGTCTGTCTGGTGAGCACACGCGCCCTATAGCAAAAAAACTCTTCAAAAAAAAAAAAAACTATACCAGGCCCAAGTTAGCATCTATTATTCATTGCCAATGAATAAAAAATAAACTATACACACACACACATATATATACATATATATAATATATACATGTCTATACATATATTTCATGTATATATGTATAGACACACACACACACATCACTAACACATGAACAAAGAATATTCTATATTTCATAGTTTGCATTAGATTGTCTGATTTATGGACTCATAAACTATATTAAAGCATGTTAATTATTGATAAAGTACTGGAAATTTATACATTCTGTCTTGCCCTTATTTTTTTCCCAAATGTGAAAGCTCAAAGACTTGACAGTACTCCTTGTTAGGGACCCTCTTGCCCCTCCATGATGAAGCTACCAGATAAGAAGCACTTTCTGTATTTTGATATCATTCTGTTCTATTGCCCTAGCCATCTACTCCCCATTACAGATGGGAAAAGCCAGAGAGGAGTCTTTGGTAAGCCTCAATAACATGTGATTTTGAGTCATCTTCCCTTGGTCCAAACAGGAAGTCCAGAGAACTTGGTATGGTAGAACCAAGCATGGAGTTTGGGCCTTGGTAATAAGAAAGTCTTCCTTGTTACAAGACTAGGCCTTGTTCTTTAATACGAGGTGGTCATTCTAAGTTTGAGAAAGCCCATCATAAATTCCAGAAGGGAGCCCTCCTGCTGGAATAGCCCAGGAACTTTCTGATTGGCTGTTGGTGACATCACTCAAGAGGGGCAATTTGCTGCCTCTAAATGGAAACATTGCAATGAGAGTGATGGTCCAGGAGTCCCAATGTGCAGGTCTGGGCTGGAATCCACAGAGCACCAGTCCTTACAATACAGCAAGAAATATGTTATTGTGTACACTGACAGAGGAGGAAACTCAAGTTCAAAGGTGATTTCACCCCGAATTCTAAAGTGGTGTAAGTGGGCTTGAGCCAACTTCCCCAGTGTCTTAGCTACTTCCCCAACTACCTGTTGCCCTGGGACAGGTGAGGCAAGATAGCAGGGGCCAGAAAGTGACTTGAAGTTCCAGAAGAGTCCTTGACTTAACAGGCCACCTAACGTCAAAAAATAGCTCCTGGAGCTCTGACTTTCGAAACACATTGACTGACCCACTGCCTGAGACCAGACGGATTGGCATACACCCTTCTGCACTAGGGGTCAGCCTAGGGACAAGACTCCCATGAGTGAGGGGGTCAGTGAGACTAGCATAGGGCTTACTGCAAGAGTTCTGTCACCCCTTGGAACTGAGCTTTGTGACCCAGAGGGTAGTCATGGCAATAAGAAGCCAAACCCAAATAAAACCATTCTGGGTCACTCTGAACCTAGAAGCCAAGACAGGACAGGAAACTCTCTCAGCATGGGAACATCACTCTACCTGGGTGCAGCAAATGAAGGTGGCAGCTGCATCTACAGTTTGACTAAATGTGGAGAGGTGCAAAGATCTCGCCCTCACCATAGCCGTTCAGCCTGCATTTTCACCATTAGTCTGAGACTTCTGCTGCCCCCTATAGGCTTCCTACTGAAATGCTCACCTATCTGAAAAGGGAATGGTGGTTATCTGCAATTAGCATCAAGGCATAAATTAGCTTCTGCCGAGAGATGATAGTAGAGAGAGAATCTCAAGACAAGTACGTTTTGTAAGGAAGGAATTTATGAATAGAGAAATGGGGACCCCAGGGAGGTCCTTAAGTCACTGGAATGAAGGATTCTGTCTAAGCAGGTGAGGGAAGGAGTAGAGGGATAGAATTCTTGTGGCTGCATAAATTCTAGAGGCCAGCTCCCTCCCCATCAGAGAGGCAAAACCAAGGTCATCGCAGCTGGGAGAGACCTGGTGGATGATGGCAGCCACACCTCTCATTTTACTGATGAGGTCTGACAGAGCTATTCATTGGCATCGAGTGACCTGTTAAATCCAAGGACTCCTCTAAAACATCAGTCACCCTCTGGCCAAGAAAGGCAGAGTCACTTGACAAGATCACACAACAAATGGCCAAGGACAAATTGAACCCTTTTCCCCACTTCAAGGGTAAGGTTTAGCCAGAGCCTCCTTAGAGAAATGGAAAATGGAGCAGAATAAGGGATCAGCAAGAAGAGAAGGAACATCTCCTATCTTGGAGGGCATGCTAGCAACCCCCAGAAGATCTTTTTTTTTTTTTTTTCCCAGATGAAGAAGCCAGCTAAGGAAAGCTCAAGGATACATGAAGGAAAAAAAAAAAAAACTAGCAGATCAAGTTCAAAAGCTATGCCACCTCCATGGAAATATTGGGTCATCAGAAAAGTCATGACACAGTTTTGCATAGAAAAATAGAAAAAGGTATAGCATCACTTTCCCAATGACCCAAAATAATTCTGCTTGCTACTTCTTGGAAAAGGAGCACCCTCAGTAAAAACCAAGACGTGGAAATTTTTTTCTGTATTTTGTCCTGTATCTTTTAGAAGAAGATGAAGTCCACCTATTTGTCACCTACAAAGTCTCCATGAGGGTTTACTCAACTCAAAACAAGACCCCCCCACATACCTCTACCCTCACCAAGTAAGCTAAAGAACTTTCCATACAGCCAGACTGTCCAGAGATAAAAATCCTCACAGGTGCTGGGGTTTTGCTAGAAGCCCGTGAGTGTGGGCCTGGGTACACAGTCCAACCTCTACCACTGCCTAGCTGTGACAGACAACTCTTAACAAGAAAGCAAGGAGGAGACTCAGTGTGCAGATTTAAGGCTGACCTCTCATTTGTGCAAAAGGTCTAGCTCTTCCAGAATTGTTGACGTGGTTTAAGAGCACAAACTCTAAATGAGAAGGGCAGGGTTTCCATTTTTTTTGTTTCCCTCTCATTCTTTTAACTCATTTTCAACAGTGAGAAGAGGAAACAGAATTTAGTCCACTTAAGATGTACCCACCACCTAATTTAGTCACCACAAGGGGGCGTTCTCACTTGCAGCCTATGTATAAAGTCTCTGAGGTTGAGAGGGTTGAGTGACCTGCCCAAGATCACACAACCAGAAAGAGGTACCACTGGGACTTGAATCAAGAAGGTTTATATCAGTGCCTACACTCCTAACCACCATGAGACACTATCCTGACCCTCCGTAAGAACCCCTTTACCTGACAGATGGAAATGCTAAGGCCCAGAGAGGTCAAGAAAGTTCCCCAAAGTCACACTGGTAACAGAATAGAGTAATTTCTTGCTGGATTCTTGAGAGAACCAGACAGAAATAAGGTGTGAGAAAGAAGGGAGAAAACTAGGGTGGAGTAAGGTTAAGCAACATGGAAGATGAGGAGGCATGACAGAAGTGAGGAGGCTATAGAGGAGAACCTGGAGACCCAGAGGACCCAAGCACCAATGCAGCCCACCCCGGTAGCCCAGGTGACGGTGTGGGACACAACTCACTTCTTCTGCTTCTTCTCCAGCTCATGGTTTCGGCTCTGCTGGTTTTCCAGTAGCACACGGGTGTCCTCCAGGTCACAAGTTAGATGGTGGCATTTCCTCTTCAGCTGGTGAGCTGTCTTCTTGGCTCCCTCATAAGCACTCTGCAGTTCCCCAAGCTATGGGAGGAACAGAATAATTTACCTGGCTCTGTGGGTGCCAAATGGCTTTTTTTTTTTTTTTTTTTTTTTGCGTGTGTGTGCTTAACAGAGAGAGAGAGCAACAGACAGAGACAGAGAGAGGGAGAAAGCATCCCCCAGTGGGACATGGTGCACCACAGTCCCTTCTCCATTTCTCCATCCTCTTGGGATTCTGGGCATGCACATGTAGACAGTGTGTTTTTCAGACCACTGGGTGTTGGATTCAGATGGCATCCTTAGCCTTGTGAGATCCACCTCTCTTTACTAGGCCATGGCACTAGCTTGAATGGGCTTTGTAACTGTTTATTCCAAAGAGCTGCCATTTCCAAAGTGAGCTTAACGGATCAGACACTGGGGCTGGAGAAGCCCTGTCTTCACCACTTTCTACCTGTGTCACCTCCAGGATGCTACTTCCCTGAGCCTCAGTTTCCTGAGAGACAAAACGGAGATAATCCCATCCATCTCTTAGAGATGTTGTAACTTTCCTTCAATAATCCTCCTGCCAACACACACACATCTGCCCTGCTTTAGGCAGATGGCCCTTGAGCTCTGAGAACTTCATAGTCCCATCAGCTGCTATAATCTGGGGAGATTAGTGAGGATTCTGTATGGGGCCATCAAAATGACATACCTAGAAACTCTGACCAGGAAGCCCAAGAGTCAGGTCTTAAAGGTTAGAGCAGTTGATAATACTTGGGATGGGCTGAGCTACATGGAGACACACACAGCTTTAAACAAACAGAAAAAGAAAAGCCTCTTGCATCTTCCTTCAAGGAAACACCCTCCCAATGTTCTAGTTTAGATCTGGGAAAGAGCGCAACTCAGCACACTCGCTTTGAAGAAATGGCCTCATTAAAGAATTGCTTTAAATAAGCAAAACTCTGAGTTAATGAAGCCTGTAATTCTAAATTCAGTATTTGAAGGCAAATGGGATGTTTTCTTATATTCTGCCGCTCAGAAAAGGTTGCAGTTTTATTACTTTTTAATGTAGCATGAATATCTTCCTTCCTTAGGGAAACTGACCCGACTTTATAATTTGTTATTAAAGAGCTGGGCTGCGGTTGTCCTTCTGTGTTTGTCAATGGCTCAGAATGTCTCTTGAGGATCATGATGCAGTGTCCATCTTGGAAGTGACCATTAAAACTATCATCACCCCGGAGAAGAGCTGAGTCTTATTTCCATGGTTTATAAAACCCCATGTAATCTCCCCCTGGCCCTCCTCTGCAAAATGATCACATGATACATTTTTCCTCAGGTTGAATATTAAAGACAGGCAAAGGTGATGTCCAACCTAGGGCTCTTACATTGGAAGGGGGAGACCGAGAAACAAACAGATAATTAAAGCACAACATGACAAGGCTTATATTTGGGGAGACAGTTCAGGGACTCCCAACCCAATCTGTACCAGCAAAGCCTTTGTGATGAGTGACATTTATACTGAAATCTTAAGAATAGTTGGAGTGCCAGCCCCAAAGCACAGTGATTAAGCCCTGTGCCTTGAGAGCCAGATCCCACATGACCAACCATAGTTCAAATCCCAGCCCCAGCAGCTTGAAAAACATGTCAGATGCAGATACATGGGTGTCTAAGCTCCTGACAGGATAGAGGATGGAAATGCTAAGGCCCAGAGAGGTCAAGAAAGTTCCCCAAAGTCACACTGGTAACAGAATAGAGTAATTTCTTGCTGGATTCTTGAGAGAACCAGACAGAAATAAGGTGTGAGAAAGAAGGGAGAAAACTAGGGTGGAGTAAGGTTAAGCAACATGGAAGATGAGGAGGCATGACAGAAGTGAGGAGGCTATAGAGGAGAACCTGGAGACCCAGAGGACCCAAGCACCAATGCAGCCCACCCCGGTAGCCCAGGTGACGGTGTGGGACACAACTCACTTCTTCTGCTTCTTCTCCAGCTCATGGTTTCGGCTCTGCTGGTTTTCCAGTAGCACACGGGTGTCCTCCAGGTCACAAGTTAGATGGTGGCATTTCCTCTTCAGCTGGTGAGCTGTCTTCTTGGCTCCCTCATAAGCACTCTGCAGTTCCCCAAGCTATGGGAGGAACAGAATAATTTACCTGGCTCTGTGGGTGCCAAATGGCTTTTTTTTTTTTTTTTTTTTTTTTTCAGCATGTGTGTGCTTAACAGAGAGAGAGCGACAGACAGAGACAGAGAGAGGGAGAAAGCTTCCCCCAGTGGGACATGGTGCACCACAGTCCCTTCTCCATTTCTCCATCCTCTTGGGATTCTGGGCATGCACATGTAGACAGTGTGTTTTTCAAACCACTGGGTGTTGGATTCAGATGGCATCCTTAGCCTTGTGAGATCCACCTCTCTTTACTAGGCCATGGCACTAGCTTGAATGGGCTTTGTAACTGTTTATTCCAAAGAGCTGCCATTTCCAAAGTGAGCTTAACGGATCAGACACTGGGGCTGGAGAAGCCCTGTCTTCACCACTTTCTACCTGTGTCACCTCCAGGATGCTACTTCCCTGAGCCTCAGTTTCCTGAGAGACAAAACGGAGATAATCCCATCCATCTCTTAGAGATGTTGTAACTTTCCTTCAATAATCCTCCTGCCAACACACACACATCTGCCCTGCTTTAGGCAGATGGCCCTTGAGCTCTGAGAACTTCATAGTCCCATCAGCTGCTATAATCTGGGGAGATTAGTGAGGATTCTGTATGGGGCCATCAAAATGACATACCTAGAAACTCTGACCAGGAAGCCCAAGAGTCAGGTCTTAAAGGTTAGAGCAGTTGATAATACTTGGGATGGGCTGAGCTACATGGAGACACACACAGCTTTAAACAAACAGAAAAAGAAAAGCCTCTTGCATCTTCCTTCAAGGAAACACCCTCCCAATGTTCTAGTTTAGATCTGGGAAAGAGCGCAACTCAGCACACTCGCTTTGAAGAAATGGCCTCATTAAAGAATTGCTTTAAATAAGCAAAACTCTGAGTTAATGAAGCCTGTAATTCTAAATTCAGTATTTGAAGGCAAATGGGATGTTTTCTTATATTCTGCCGCTCAGAAAAGGTTGCAGTTTTATTACTTTTTAATGTAGCATGAATATCTTCCTTCCTTAGGGAAACTGACCCGACTTTATAATTTGTTATTAAAGAGCTGGGCTGCGGTTGTCCTTCTGTGTTTGTCAATGGCTCAGAATGTCTCTTGAGGATCATGATGCAGTGTCCATCTTGGAAGTGACCATTAAAACTATCATCACCCCGGAGAAGAGCTGAGTCTTATTTCCATGGTTTATAAAACCCCATGTAATCTCCCCCTGGCCCTCCTCTGCAAAATGATCACATGATACATTTTTCCTCAGGTTGAATATTAAAGACAGGCAAAGGTGATGTCCAACCTAGGGCTCTTACATTGGAAGGGGGAGACCGAGAAACAAACAGATAATTAAAGCACAACATGACAAGGCTTATATTTGGGGAGACAGTTCAGGGACTCCCAACCCAATCTGTACCAGCAAAGCCTTTGTGATGAGTGACATTTATACTGAAATCTTAAGAATAGTTGGAGTGCCAGCCCCAAAGCACAGTGATTAAGCCCTGTGCCTTGAGAGCCAGATCCCACATGACCAACCATAGTTCAAATCCCAGCCCCAGCAGCTTGAAAAACATGTCAGATGCAGATACATGGGTGTCTAAGCTCCTGACAGGATAGAGAAATGGAGGGAAAGATTGCAGTGTGACCATATCCCATTGCATGTTGTGGGGAAGGGGTTCCTCTCTCATGAAAGAGCCCTTTAGGAGATAACAACTATCTGGGCAGGGGTGAGAAAGTGTATCCTTGTGAGAAGAAACAGTGTACATAAAGGCCCAGAGATGAGAAAGAATGCATTTTTGGAAGGAGAAAAAAAAAAAAAAAAAACAGTATGGCAGAAATCAGTAGCATGCTGGAGTTGGCTGAACCAACATCCAAGAGTCAATCAAACAGTATGGCAGAAATCAGTGGCATGCTGGAGTTGGCTGAACCAACATCCAAGAGTCAATTCTCCACCTCTCCTCCAACTTCCAGGTTCAGTGGCATCGCAATGGCAGTTTGAAATTGGCCATGGTTGGGACCAGCAGGTGGCATGGTGGTTAAGGTGCTAGATACTCCCACATGGCTGACCATGGTTTGAGTCCCGGACCTGGTGGCTTGCTTTCTCACTTTCTGTGTGTGTGTGTGTGTGTGTGTGTGTGTGTGTGTGTGTGGCGAGCGCACGCGCCCTACAGTGAAAATCTCTCCAAAAAAAAAAAAAAGAAAAGAAATTGACCGTGGTGGGAGGACTTACACCATGGGAACTGCATAATGCTGCAAATCAATGTTTTATTTGTTTTTTTTTTTCCTTTTTCCCTCAGAGAGCCATTTATCTGCATGCTATTGGTTAGAATGCAGACTAATTAGAATGTAGAAGTAGCTGGGGACAATAGAAGACAGGTAGAGAAGCCAAACTCACTACATTCATCTACAAAGTCTAGAGAAGATACTATATATAGGTGTGATTACATTATATTTGTATTTATATACATATTATATATATACACACATGCATATATACATATATATTCTTATACACACACACACACAAACACACACACACACACACACACACACATGTGCTTTTAAGAAAGGAAAATTTCAGAATATCAGAAACACAGAGAACACAAAGCCAGAAGAATAATAATAGATACTGGTAGCATGGCAGCCAAGATGAGGGAGAAGAGCAGATGACAGATTTGGAAATATTCCTCGAGAAAGAGACTTAAGTTTAAATACACAGATAGACAGGAGTCAAGACCTTGGGCTCATAGACAATGAGCAGTTGGAATGCATACCCTTGCATTGTCACAGCCTTTAAAGAGCTTCCCTTTAGAGAGAGGGGACAATAAAAGCTCCATCCATTAGCCTGGATGGTGGCAAAAAAATTAAAAAGAAAGAGAGAAGAAAATGCTTGCATCCTGGAGCCAGTAGATGTTAAGATGCTGCATTCCCACTTGGTCAACCACAGTTCAAGTCCTGGACCTGATGGCTTGAAAAATCACTCTGAGTACATTAAAATGTATGCCCAGGATTCCCGGAGGAGTATGGAGGAGAAGCATGGCCAGCCCTCCTGGGGTTGATGTCTCACTTTCCCTCTCTCTGTCTCTCTCCAGCAAGTGTACGCATCCTATGGAAAAACAAAACAAAACAAATTAAACAAAGCTTGCTTCCATTCTGGCTCTAGGTAGGAAAGAAAGAATAAAAATCGTGGGTCTGTGCTTGATGAAGGTTTAGAGATCAAGCTGACACATTTCACATGTTGCAAATATCTGAGACTAAGAATTTAGTATATGGGTCAGCTGATGGCATGGTAGTTAAAGCAACTTGACCAACCCACTTGACCAACCATGCAATTCAAGTCCTGGACCCCAAAAATGCTGGGAACATGTGTGTGCATGTCCAAAATTCTGAAAGAAAAATGGAGGAGAAGGGATTGCAGTGTGACCATTTCCCATGGGGAAGGTACTTTTTCACTTTCCTTCTCTCTCCCTCTCTCCCTCTCTCCCTCTCTCCCTCTCTCTCTCTCCAGTGAGAGTATTTGCCCTCTAGCAAAATTCAAACAAATAAAAAGGAATTTAGTATAATCTCAGGGACTGCTACAAAAGAAATTCAAAAGTATTTCTGATAGAGGAACATATCCACACCCTGTTATCAAAGGACTCCAATTAAAATCAATAAAAAGTAAAGCTAAACACATAATTAAAATCAATTGAAGATTAACTCACAAGAAAAATAAAAAACAGTTAAATACACAAATGTACCATGAAGGTGGGGGTGGAGGGTGGGGGATGAGGAGGAACATTCTACAATGCAGAACACCCTAGACTACTGGGGTGGGCACAGAGGGACCTGTAGAAGACGAGCTCACAACCAACATTTACAAAAAACGTTCAAGTGGAAAATCTACCATGACAGCCTAATTTACAATGATTCAACAGTCTGAAGGAGACTGAAAGATTCTGTGGCTGCAGTGTGGTGGGTGGTTGAGGGGAAGAAGCTAGAGGCAGGGGACTCGTTAGAAGCCTGATCTTCTGTTCTAGATGAGAAACAGAGATAGCAGATTAGAATAGAAGCCATGGGAATGGATGAAGTCTGACAATTTTAAGAGTATAATAGTTATTTGATAGATAAGAATCTGATATCTAAAAGGGAAGATTATTTCCACAAGGTCCACACAGAAATGGAAATGGAACACATGTATCCTGAGTTCATGTACATGTTCTTTGTAACACAGTAGCATGTCTCTGGATAGAAGACCATGGAAAGAAAGTATGTTCCGTACTCCACAATGTCTAGCATGTGTATTGACAGCAGTGGTGGATAAACAGGAAGTGGTTGGTGCCCACTTCCTCCCTCCCCAGGATCAGCCACAATGGAGGTGAGAACTGTCCACTCCCTGGCCCCTCTGCCACCCAGACTAAGCACTACCTCTTACCTTCTGCTCCAGCTCTTTCCTGGATGACAGTTCTGAGTCCAGTCTCTCCTCACATTGCTGCAGACGCTTTCTAAGGAATTCATTCTCCATTTGAGCGCAGTCAAAACGCATTTGCCACTCGTCCGCTGTTTAACAGGGTCAGGGAGGCCAGGAGGAGGCCAAGTGAAAGTCAAGCAAAAGTGAGAGTGGCTTTGGTCCACTTTCTTGATTATAGGCATGCAATATCACAATATTAATGGAGCCTCTACATCCCAATGTTGGACTTCCGGTTAAGAAAACGGTTTAAAGCATGTCACTATTTTGTTGTTTGTTTATTTATTTCATGAAAGCAAGAGAGGAAGACAGTACCTTTTGCAGAGTCTCACACCACAGTCACTCCTGCTGCCTTCTAAGCCAGCCAGGATCATAGTCACATGCACCAGGCATGTACAGGTTAAACAGGGAACCTAACCCATGATACTCCATCTGGATTCAGCTGTTTGTATTACCACTGGGCCACAGAGCTGGACTAAGAAACTGTGTGTTAAGTCCAAATTTAAATGAATGCTTCTTCCAGGAAACCTTTCCTGACGACCTCTGGCTATCTAGCTTGCAGTTCTAAGACTGTTCACCTTATACTGTTCAATTATCTCTATGAGTATACTTTTCTTTTCTGAGGGGATTTCATAATCTTTAAGAGCAGGGAGCTGTTTAAGTCATCTGAGAGTCCTTAACACTCTCTAGAAGAGTTTTCTACACACAGAAGATTCCCCATACACGTGGATACAAGTTGACTAATTACTAATGCCTCCAGTAAAATCAATGGGCAAAAAGAATCATCCTGCCTTGGTTAAAAATCTCAAAAAAAAGAAGAAAAAAAACACTGGGTTGTTCGACTAAAATTGTTTGGCTGAATAGAATGGGATAGTTGAAGGGCCAGTGGGTGGTACAGTGCTTAAGGCGCTGGACTCCCACATGGCCCACTGCAGTTCAACTCCCAGACCTGGTTGCTTGAAAGTCACGTGTGTGTGTGTGTGTGTGTGTGTGTGTGTGTGTGTGTATCCAAAACCCCAGGAAGAAAATGGAGGCAAAAGGACTGTGGCATGGTCATCCCCTCTAGGGGGTGATTTCTCACTTTCTCTTTTTCTTTCTCTCTATCTCTCCAACAAGTGCACATGCCCCAAAGAAAAATTCTCTTTCAAAAAATAAAAATAAAAAACTTTAAAAAGATAACTGTAACCTAGTATGACAGGGATCTTACAAGAGAAACTTACAAAAAGAGCACTCAAATTCATAAAGGCAACACACTTGTTTAATTCATCATTGTATTCCCAAAATATACTAAAGTGCCCAGCATATATAATAGGAAGGGCTCAATAATTTTAAATAGAGAGGTGGATGGTTTGATAGATTATGGTAGAGCAGAGTGTTAAAAACCGTTGGGAGGGAGACTAGCTGGTGGCATGGTGGTTAAGGCACTGTACTCCCACATAGCTGACTTAGGTTCAAGTCCCATACCTGGAGGCTTGCGCTCTCTCTCTCTCTCTCTCTCTCTCTCTCTCTCTCATAAGCACATATGTCCTATAGCAAATTAAAAATAATAATAATAAGTGAAATTAAATAATTATTTAAAGAAATAGATAAGTGGAATGGTAGATGGATGGACATCAGGGTAGATGGATAGGTACATACATGAATGGTAGGATTCAGGTCTTGGAAGAGATGACCCAAATAGAAATTTCCACATCATTAGCCCCAAAGATCAATGATCTAACAGTAAAGAGTTAAAACGTGTTTGAGTTTCTAGCAAGGTAGAGAATATCATGGGAAAAGAATCCTGTCTCCCTATCAGGAAAAAGCCTCACAGAGGCGAGCAGAATGGCTGAAAAGGGAAGAGGAAGTCACAGAAGGCGTCACCACAGCTTTCTCTGTGCTGTGACAGGCTACAGAACAAGTGGCCTGAAGGGGCAGGATGAGCAGGTAAGGTATGGCTCTCCATTCCTCCAGGCTTATCTCCACCCAGCACCCCCACCCATGGCACCTGCTCCTGCATAACTCAGCCTTTCATCATCTGGTTAGCATTTTCCTGGGTTCATCTGATCTCCGATCTCCATACATAGACTACAAATTTCTTGAAAGTAGGACCCAACTAAAATTCTTCTGTAAGAAGAATTTTATATGATTATATATGATTAAAAATTCTCTTTAAATATTTAGCCATGCATGAAGGAAGAAAAGACTTTTTTATGTATATAATTTATAGTCCAGCTTGATCCATGCAGGAGGTTGTGGTGCCATCACGGGGGTATGATTAAAGTGTTTTATTGCTTCTTTCAAATTTCCTATCTTTAAGAAATTTTCTGTAATGAGTATATATTACTTTCATAATGAAAAACAAAATATTTGTGGACTGGCTTCCTGGAATGAGCATCTAGAGCTGAGAGGCAATATGGCATCGTGACTAATGTGCTCAGGAGCTGAGTGTCCCTCCCCACCCCACCCAACTCCCCTGTCTTATCCCGGGAGAACAAGCCGGGCAGCATCCTTAGCCATGAATCTCAGCCAGATGCCAGTGGGGCTGATGTTCCTCTGGAGAAACTGCACTGTCCCACCCTGCCAGTTGTGTGATCCCCACTCCCACCTGCCCTTGATCTCGTTGGGTCTCTGTATCAGAGAATCTCAAACCCCTCTCTATCACCTTCCCTGGTAATACCTGCCCTTGGTGTAGCTAGAATGAGAGAAAAAAAAGCCAAGTAGAAAGTAAATGTGCCTTGTCTTTTCTCCAAAAAGTGGCTAAATACTTCTTGTCAATCATCTATGACTATCCATGACCACCTCCATTGGCCTGAAGTCTCTCATCCAGTTAAGAGATAGAGTCAAGATCCCAATTCAAAAATGGGAATTCATACTTTTCACTTTCAACCACTAAACTGACTTCATAAAAATGTGTATTTAAGGGACCAGCCATAACGCAATATTCTACAGGACTGACCCACAAGAGAAAGTTCTGGGCCCAAGTTCAGAGACTCCCCTGAACATGCTGAGTGTATGTGTGCCCATAATCTGGGGCTGGCTAGAGCTGAGAGTGGATCACTGTGTGGAGACCCTTTCAGGAATGTTATCTCTCTCTCTCTTGCTCACAGATAAAAGGAAAGGAGGAAAGGGGAGGGGACGGGAGAAAGGAAAGAGGGAGGGAAGAATGATATGCATTTAAAATATTTGTATAAATATAAAAATGGCTTGCCCATGAAGCCAATTTTTGTTATTATTCTTTGCTTTGTTATTAAACAGCACCTGCCATACAAATAATTTCTCATTTGGGACATTGCTGGATTAGCTGCTTAAGGTCTGTCTGTTCCATTAGACACTAAGCTCCAGTAAAGGGCAAGGCAGTGCCTTTTTGCCCTTCCATCCCCTGAGGCAGCATCTAGCACATTGTAAGTGCTCAGTGTGTACCTGTGAATGGATGGATGAAACAAAAAATGGCTTTGTCCACCAGCCATCCAAACCCAAGAGTCCAGGCTGCTCACCTCCTCCAGTGTGATTCCTTTCCAAGTCATTCAACTGAATTTTATGCTGGGCTTCTTCTAACTGTTTCTCCACTTCTCCCAAATTCTTCTGAACTTGCTCATACTTGCTCTGGAAGAAATGGTTCAAGGTCCAAATGGGAGCTGGCCAGAAGCCTGGGCTCGCCATTTCACCATGGTACCTTCCCACCAGGGACTGGCCACTTCCTACACAGTCTTGACCCATGTAGATGCCAACAAGCCAGCCTCTCTCTACACGTTCCTTATCCAAACCACCCCCAAGGCCAGGGACTTTCCACCCTCTGTTCCTAAGGAGTGCTCACCATAATACTTCCAAAGCCAAGACTCGGGAAGACCCCCAGGACCATAGGCATGGGAGTCAGTTCGTCTGTGCATCTTGTTTAGGCTTACCAGTCTAAGTTATGAGCACAGGGTGGGCAGGTTCAACTGTTCCCAACCATCCCATTCAACTACCCATGACCACTCACCTTAAGCTCCTGAACCTCCCGGAAGGCCTGCAGCCTCTCTGCCCGCTCACTTTCCAGTGCCTGGCAGGCCACATCACCTTTGAAGCGCTCATCAGCAAGTTCTGTGGTCAAATCAGCAATCTAGGGTAGGGGGATGGGGTGGTCAAGAAAAGGACATTCATAGGGGCCAATCATCCTCCTCCTCCCCACACTTTCTAGGACTACCCTTGGGCAAATCACTGGCTATGATGAAAAGCAGTCCTTTAGTGTAATCAAGTGATTTAGAGAACAGACTTCAGAATTTTATCTGTCTTGGTGTGGTTGAATTTGGGGTCCAACACCCCCTAGCTGTGTGACTTTTAACCCAGCAGGATGCCATCTGATTCTGTTTTCTTAACTTTTAAAGGAGGAAATAGGTCAACCATGGTGGCTCAGTGGTAATGCAATGCTCTGTGATGCTGAAGCTGCATAGGAAGGTCCCAAGTTCACATCCCAAGGCTTCCCTGCTTGTGCATGCATGTGCTGTGATCCTGGCTGAAGCTGGAGGTGGATCCCAGCGTGGAGACCCTCTCGGGAAATGTCTCTTCTCTCTCATCCCTACCCCTGAAGAAATAAATAAATGGAGAAAATAACCTACAAAATTATTTGAGCATGAAGTGAGAAAATTTATAGAAAGCTTAGCACAGATCCTGGCACATAGCAAGAACTCAATAAAAAAAAAATAGCCATTGAAGTGGATGCTCTTAACAAATCCTCAGTGAACCATCCTGCTGGACTGGCCCAACACCCTCCCTCAGTAAGACACATTGATGGACGTCCACAGCACTGAATTCTCTCAGCCAGGAAACCTCCCTATAGCTTCCCGGGGTCCACCTGCCTCTCCCAGGCAATAGTCATGCCTGCCCAGTATCAACTGTGTTCCCAATCTGTTTTTGCCAGTGCATTTTTAATGTAATTATCTACAGAGTTAGCAATTATATAAACCTAGTATATACGACTGGACATAGAGTTTCCATGGAAACTGTGCTTAATGTTTTGGAAGGAATTAATAAAGGTGAGTTGCTTTTGTAAATGTTCCCAAATAAAATAAAATAACCAGCAGATTGTGAAATGGTTATGTCGTTGGATTCGCACATGGATCCCACGGCTTGAAACTCACACCAGGAATGTGTGCATACATGCTCAAAATCCCAAGAGGAGAATGGAGGAGAAGGGATTGCATTATGGCCATTCCCCCATGGAGTGATTTTTCGCTTTCTGTCTCTCCAGTGAGCACATATGCCCTATAGCAAAAAATTTCTCTAAAAAATAAAATTTAAAATAATTGAAGTATAAACTTAGGCTTCCAATAGGTCATCAGAAAAGTCATGACTTGTTTTTCTATATATATATTTTTTAATTTTTTTTGCAAAAGTGCATCATGACTTTTCTGATGACCCAATACATTCAAATTGCGTTGTCATTGTTCCCCATTAGAAACCAAAGTAGAAACCATAAGATTGTGTTTGAAGCGTGTGGTTTAAGAAAGATGGACCACGTGTAGAAAATGCATGGACAGACTATGTGGTCCTCCTTCAGAAGTGCAGGGAGTTAAGGTGTACATGTTTTAAGTTAAAACTAAAAACCATGGGAGGCGGACAGTGGCACCACAGTAACACACGATGCTCTGTGAGGTAGAATCACATGGATAGGTTACAAGGTCACATACAGAGACTTCCCTGAGGACACTGGGCATATGTGTGCCCATATGTGCTGGCTGGGACTGGGGTTGGGTCACGATGCCAAGACTGCTGTGGGTGCTGACTTTGTCTCTCTCCCTCACGGGATAAATAAATAAACAAAAATTCTAAATACATTTGTAAAATAAAAATGCGTACAGCTGTGGTGGACCAGTTGTGACACAACATTCCAAAATGCTGGAGCCACGGTTCTTGTCCCAAGGTTGAGCTGTGTACACTGGGTGCATGTGGTTCCTGCCCTGAACTGGGCTGACTGAGGCTGGAAGTGGATCATGGCATGAAGATCCTGTAGGGAATGTCAATCTCTATCTCTCTTTCTCTTTGTCTGTCTCACCCTCTCATGGAGGAAATAAATAAATATAAACTTAGAAAACTTAAAATTGTTTGCTTTTTCAGGATTTCCCACTTGCACTGATTTTATTTTTCCCAATTAACTGACCAACTATAGATACCTACTGGGTAAGGGCCTTTGTGTTATTATTGTTCCAAAAATGCAGCCCTCAGGGCTCAGGCATATGCCTAAGAAATTAGGAGAGAAATGACAGTGGAGGGTCTATGGGGAAGCTCAGAAACAACCTCACACAGAACCAGGGTTGCTTATCACGAAACTGAGGCTACCTCTTCTCAGAGGCAGCAGCTAAAGTTGAGAAGCAAAAAACAAACAGAGAAGACTCAAAGTACAATGTTTAAGTCCAGACTCAACAACTAACCTGTCATTTGACCATGACAATCTTTTCCTGTCCAGGGCCTTGGTCAATTGAGCTGTGAAAAGCTTTGAATTAGATGAGGTCTCATGTGTTCCTGGCATGTTGCATATGAAGATATCAAAACACCTCACTCTCCCACCAGACCCTCTGCATCATAACAGTGCTTAGAGGCAACTGTGGAGTGTTTTCATAAAAAGTTAAGTGTTCTTATTTTTAAGAGATATTTTTGCTTTTTTCTTAATGTATTTTTATTTCAATTTCTTTTATACATTTAATCACATATGTCACTTAGCTTGCACAGTGAATTTTCTAACATGTATACATTTCTCACCAATCCAGTCGGGAGTACTATATACACCATTTTCAACAAACAATAATACACCTCTCTGTCCCACAAATGCCCCGCCCCTCCATTTCTCTCCCCCATGCACCTCCTCAGCCTCTCTTCCCTCACCCACTCTCTTCCCACACTGTATCCAGTATTTATAACCATTTTCTATGTTTCTATATCTTCTAGTCATTCAGTTTTGGCCATAGAGTGCAGACAGTCAATATATAGTAAGTGGAGACATACAATGTCTCTCCTTCATAGCCTGACTTGCTTCACTCAGAAGTAAATCTTCCATATTCATCCACTTTCTGTCAAAAGCCAGGGTCTTGTTTTTTTGGGGTTTTTTGCTTGTTTGTTTGTTTGTTTTGTTTTGTTTTGTTTTTTTATGGCTGAGTGGTATTCTATAGAGTATATGTGCCACACTTTTTTTTTTTTTGAGAGGGGTTTTTTTTTTTTTACCTTTAGGGC